CTATCCGGTAACTCTGGTTGTCCAGAATGTTGAGGGTTGCACGGATACATTAACCTCAATTGTTGAAGTAAAGGATTTCAGGATTACCCTTATTGCCACCCCTAACCCGGTTAATATCGGGGATGTAATCACATTAAACACTAACGGCTCTGTGCCATATCAGGTTCTGCATTGGGCACCAGAAAAGTATTTTTTGCAACATGACCTAAAGGAACAGCATTATCAGCAGGACACCGTCACAAAGTTCAGGGTTTTGGGAAAGTCTATGGAAGGTTGTCCTGACAGTGCAGAAGTGGAGATTACAATTAATCCTGTCGTATTTATTCCTTCGGCCTTCACCCCAAATGGCGATGGGAAAAATGATTTTTTTCGTGCCACAGGATTAGGGACAGGGGTAAGTATAACACGGATGGAGATTTATAATCGTTGGGGGGCAAGAATTTTCGTTGCCTACAATGATCGGGCAGAGGCCGGGTGGGACGGCACTTACAATGGTAAACCATGTGAGTTGGGTACTTACTACTTCACGCTGATTATGGAATCAGCCACCGGAATAAGAATTGACCGGAAAGGTGATTTTTCATTAATACGTTAATCGATTCATAAGCAAAAGCAACCGGCGTTAGCCGGTTGCTTTTAGCTTTAGAGACAATAACCTGTTGCTTGCGGGCAGAAGCTTGTCCAGCCACTGGTCCACGCAGTTGCTGTACTAAAACCACCACGTGGCTTAGCACTTGTATTGAACCATCCATCATTGACCATACTTCCAATGGGATACTCTGAGTTCTGTAGACTGCCTACGGTACTTAAGGCAAAGTTTGGCGTGGTGCTGCAATAACTGCCGCATAGTGTATTGCTGAAATTAAATCCGGATGAAAACGATTGAATGCCAAAATTTGCACACAATAATTCGTCAGGGTTCAACATCCAGTCCGAGAAATTATCGACACATTCATCTGCGGGTTGATTCCATCCGCCGGGTGCAATGAAGGAATATCTGGAACTTGCCGACGGATAATCATAGAAACTATTGTAGCTGAATTTAAGAAGGCCATTATTAGCATTATTAATCGCATTATTGCCATTAATCAGCAAGCCCTGTGGCCATCCGGAAATGACGCTATTGAATACGCCGCCGCTTGCATTATCACCTAATAAAACACCGTTTCTAAAATCCGCACTAACCGATCCTTCACCGCAGAACGCAGGGCCGAACACCGAAGCATTGCTGATCACAACTTTAGTAAGCGGTGTATTGGTTACATTAACAGGATTATTGAGGATCGCAATGCCATTAGAGGCAATACCTGCCGGATCATGTGCGCCAGCATTTAGCCTGAGTGACAACGCATATTGCATGTTGCCGCGATAACCATCCTGAAATAGAAAATCAGTTTTATAATTATCATAGTTTGCAACATTCGTTGAGTTGAATAGCCCGCCTCTCACAACCATACCGTCACCACGCGAATTCGTAATCTGAACAAAGTCTATGTTGGTTTGGTTACCAACCGCAGCCAACAATAAAGCTGCCGGGTATTGATCCCCACTTACTGAACCTCCAGCATAATGGATTTGTACATGAGACAACGTACCGGAATCATCGTTATCCACGGCGGATGATTGACCGCTGGTTATAGTTCCACAGGCCCGAATAATTTCAATAATGTTTGCAGACGGACTAGTTGAATTGCTACTTGCTCTTCCTGCGATAACGAGACCACCCCAATCGCCAGGTGCGCGAGCATTGACCGGTTGGTTTGAAGTAAAGATAACCGGGTTCATAGCTGTACCGGAGGCGACAAGTTTAGCCCCCCTCTCGATAATCAATGTGCCATTAGTAGATTTCTCCCCAAGGAAAACAACGCCTGCTGGTGCGGTTAAGGTTGCTCCTGAAGTTACCTTAACGCAGCCACTGATAAGGTATGCACTATCTGCATTAAGCGTTCTGCTTGATGAAATGGTGGATG